GCCATTTATTTAGCACTGATTATATTCCAAGGTTACCTAGTAGTGAAGTAATATCATTTGATTCAATGTATCCGTCTATCACTGAGATGGCATCTGAAGAGAACACAATGAAGCAAAGGAAAAATTACAGTAAAGAGAAAAATGTAACTACATTTAATGACAATGTAAAAGAGTAAATAGAAAGAGGCAAAGGGAGAAATCTAGAAGATCCATGAGGAGGAGGGATGGGATTTGGAAATTACTTTTGGGCAGTGTGAGACCTGCTTATCCAACTGCCTGTTGGCCAGAGTCCCTCACACTCAGCACGCCCACGTCCCCCCTCTCCTGCATTACATCAGCAATACCCTTCTGAGTTGTCTCCCTGCTTCCTGTCTCTCCCTCCCCCAATACAGTCTCCAGACTGCAACCACAGTAATCTCATTAAGATGAAATTTGATTACTTTGCTCCATCTCTTAAAAAGGCTCCCCTCTCTTGGCTGGGCTCGGTGGCTCATGCCTGTAATCCCAGCACTTTGGGAGGCCGAGGTGGGTGGATCACGAGGTCAGGAGTTCGAGACTAGCCTGGCCAACATGGTGAAACCCCCTCTCCACTAAAAGTATAAAAATTAGCCGAGTGTGTTGGGGGGTCACCTGTAATCCTAGCTACTTGGGAGGCTGAGGCAAGAGAATCACTGGAACCCAGGGAGCGGAGGTTGCAGTGGGCTGAGATTGCACCACTGCACTCCAGCCTGGGCAAAAGAGCAAAACTCCGTCTCAAAAAAAAAAAAAAAAAAAAGCTCCCATCTCTATTGCTCTCCAGATCTAGTCAGTAGCACTCTACTTCCCCTTCAAGCTTCTTTTTTCTCTGTGTCCCTACTGGACGATATGGTCAACTGATTCCCTCCTACAATTTCTTTAACTAGCCATCCCTGCCCCACCCACTCGCTTTTGATCCTTGGAAGTGCTGTTTGCCCCCAACTTTGCCAGCAGGCTACTTCTCCTCCCCTATATTCCTGGGTATGAACTGCAGAGGCCAAAGTGAGCTGGTCTACGTGGATGCACATTTCCTGTTTGAGACCCTAGGGGACAGGGATATCTATTGTGGAGCCTGCTCCATTCTGCCTTGTACTGGAGGAGACCTGATTTACACTCAGATCCTGGTCCTGTCGTCTCTTTGGATTTGAGACAGAGAAAGAGAGTGCCTGCTTCCACAGGGTGAGGGACTTCTCCCGGCTTCCTCTGGGGGTACAGGTTCTGCTTGCTGAGCCTGGTATTTAAGTCATTTTTCCCAATTCCCAGATGGTTCCAGAGTCGATAATTTACATAACTCATTCAAAAGGCAAATGGACATGAATTTTGCCTTATTTTTTATTATTTGGCTGGGAAAAAAAAAAGAACAAATATTCTTGTCCTACTGGGCATTATTCCCCCTATAAATGTGAATAATTCAGAGCTGGTTTCAAAGCTCCTTGGGGGCTTTTACCCATGACCTGAGCATTATTTACTATAACCTGCCTGGCATATACCAAAATTCACCACGGGCAGGTAATTGTAACTATGAGTAAGAGAAGGGCCGGCACAGTGGCTCACAGCTGTAATCCCAGCACTTTGGGAGGCTGAAGCGGGCAGATCACGAGGTCAGGAGTTTGAAACCAGCCTGGCCAACATGGTGAAACCCCATCTCTACTAAAAATACAAAATTAGCCAGGCATGGTGGTGCATGCCTGTAATCCCAGCTACTCAGGAAGTGGAGACAGGAAAATTGCTTGAACCTGGGAGGTGGAAGTTGCAGTTGCAGTAAGCCAAGATCGTGCCATTGCATTCCAGCCTGGGTAACAAGAAAGAACCTCCTTCTCANAAAAAAAAAAAAAAAAGCAAAAATTCTTCTACATTCAGTAGCCTATAGATGTGCAGGCATCTTTACCAATTGTGTTCCATCTTTGGATAAGTAAAAAAAAAAAAAAAAAAAAAAAAAAAGAAAGAAAGAAAGAAAGAAAAAGAAGAAAAGTGAAAATTATCCATAAATTCTACCATTCCAAGATAAACTGGTTACATTTTCCCCTGTTATTTTGTCTCCACATATATTTTTTAAATAGCTCATATTGTGTGATCTTGGGCCTTCTTTTCCCACTGTACTCTCTTCTTTGGTGGTTTCATCCATTATGATGGTTTTTATTACATCTCTGAGATGATAATTTAGCACAGATCTCTGCTCTGAGCTTCAAATTTTTCTGCCCCTACATCCCAAAGTTGCTCCTCTGAAACTGTTTTGGTAAATGACTATTACCATCTGTCCCACTAATACCAGATACTTGGAGTCATCCATAATGATTTTCTGTTTCTGCAATTCCTCCCCACCCCTTTCCCATCTGTCTTAGTCCATTCCTGCCACTATAACAAAATACCATAAACTGGCAGGTTGATAAACAACAGAAATTTATTTCTCACATTTTTGGAGGTTGGGAAGTCCAAGATCAAGGTGCCAGCATATTCAGTGTCTGGTGAGGGCCCACCACCACCAGTTTTCTGGTTCATAAAGTGGTACCTTCTCACTGTGTTCTCACATGGTAGACAGAGGCACCTTTTATAAAAGTGCTAAACCCATTCATGAGGACCCCACCCTTGTGACCTAATCTTCTCTCCAAATCCCCTCCTCCTAATGCCATCTCCTTGGGTATTAGGTGTTTTTTAATTTTTTAATTTTTATTTTTAGAGACAGAGTCTTACTCTGTTACCCAGTTGGAGTGCAGTGGTGCGATCTCAGCTCATTGCAACCTCTGCCTCCCGGGTTCAAGTGATTCTCCTGCCTCAGCCTCCTGAGTAGCTGGGATTACAGGTGTGCACCACCACACCCGGCTAATTTTTGTATTTTTGCCATGTTGGTCAGGCTGGTCTCGAACTCCTGACCTCGTGATCTGTCTGCCTTGGCGTCCCAAAGTGCTAGGATTACAGGTGTGAGACACCATGCCCGGCCAGGATTTCAACATATGAATTTGGGGGAGGACACAAACAGTTAGACCATAGCACCATTAATCACGATACCTATCATATTCATCTAACAATTGTTCTTGCCTCCTCAAGTCCACTGCCACCACCCTAATTCAAGCCACCATCCTCTCTTTCTGGTCTGCTCCCACAGCCCTATTAGTGTCCTTTTTTTCCACACTTCCCCCCTACGTTCATTTAACGGGCTCAAAAGTCCAGCCAATCTTGGCTCCCTCTTTCCATGCCCCTCAAATTCTTGTCACCTGGTCCTCTTTCTGTCCCTTAATATATGCCAAGCTCTTCTTCTCTACTTTGTGTTTAATATTCTCTTATTTTCCTGAAAGGCTTTTGCCTCAGCTGTTCCCATAGCTAGTTTCTTTTCTTCCTTCAGTTCTGATCTCCAAAGTCACCTCCTCACGTGTAGACCTTCCCTGATGTTTTAATTAAATTTGGTCTCCCTAATATTGCCCATCAAAAAGCAACTAGTTTATTTCCTCCCTGGCATTAATCATGACATGTCATTCTTCTGTTAAATGTATTCAATTTCTTTCTTTTTTTTTTTTCTTTTTTATTTTTGAGATGCAGTCTTGCTCTGTTGCTCAGGCTGGAGTGCAGTGGCGGATCTCAGTTCACTGTAACTTCTTTTGCCCAGGCTGGAGTGCAGTGGCGGATCTCAGTTCACTGTAACTTCTTTCTCCCCAGTTCAAGCAATTCTCCTGTTCAAACGATGCCTCCCAAGTAGCTGGGACTACAGGCGCCCGCCTCCATGTCCGGCTATTTTTTTTTATTTTTAGTATAGATGGGGTTTCACCATATTGGTCAGGCCGGTCTCGAACTCCTGACCTTGTGATTCGCCCACCTTGGCCTCCCAAAGTGCTGGGATTACAGGTGTGAGTCACTGTGCCCGGCTTGTTTTTGTTTTTCATTTTCTTTTATCTTTAGAGATGGGGTTTCACCATGTTGGCCAGGATAGTCTCAATCTCTTGACCTCGAGATCTGCCTGCCTCTGTCTCCCAAAGTGCTGAGATTACAGGCGTGAGCCACCGCGTCCGGCCTTTTTTTTTTTTTTTTTGATACGGAGTTTGGCTCTGTCACCCAGACCAGACTGGAGTGCAGTGGCGCAATCTCGACTCACTGCAACCTCTGCCTCCGGGGTTCAAGCGATTTTCCTGACTCAGCCGCCTGAGTAGCTGAGATTACAGGCGCACACCAACATGCCTGGCTAATTTTTGTATTTTTAGTAGAGACGGGGGTTTCGCCTTGTTGATCAGGCTGGTCTTGAACCCCTGACCTCGTGATCCACCCGCTTCGGTCTCCCAAAGTGCTGGGATTACAGGCGTGAGCCGTGGCGCTCCGCCCAACTTCTTTCTTTAATAGAAAAAGTAAATTTCAAAGTTTTGTAATATTTCTCCAACAAGTAGGATGCGCAGATGAAATATAGAATACCTAGCTAAATTTGAATTTCCGATAAACAGCGAACTTTTAAAATGTGAGATTTGGGACATACTATACTAAAAAAGTATTCGTTATCTGAAATTTAAACTTAATCGTCCCATATATGTATTTAAAAAATTTTTGACAGCTTCCCAGAATAAATTAGCGTCTTGTATTTTCATTTCTTAAATCCTACACCCTTACCCACAGGCTTGACTCTTGTATTTTCCTGAGGTTCTATCCTCCCGGCCCAGCCCAGAGCTCATTATTTACAAGGTGCTCAGTAATTGTTGTATATGAATGAACTATCTGCACGCTGTTTTGTACGTTTTCTACTCATCTGAAATTTACATGTATTTATCAGAAATTCCCACATCCACTGAAATCACTTATTTAAGACAATTTTGGAAAATACATTGTATTGCCAAAACTTCTTTGTTTTCCATTTCTGCAAAATTGGCATAGGAGTATCTACCCTCATCACATTGTTTTGACAATTAAAAGAGTTAGTGAAAAAGTAAAAGTAAAGTTTTGCACTGTGCCCGGCCCACTAGGACGCTCAATACAGTTCTTTATTAAATGAAGCCTGTGCACCATTTTAGCGACAAGCAAAAAAAGCGCGTTTGTAAAGAACGGGTGGGGGTAGGGAAAACGGTTAGAAAGGTCCGCCGACCCAACACCGACGGCCCGGGAAAATGGGAGGAGCGAAGAGTGAACGACAGAGGAAGCAGCCAATGGGGAGACTGGGAACTACTTCTCCCCCTCCCTTTGCGTTTCAAATTCTAAGCTCCGTTTCCATCCGGGTCCTTCAGCCTCGTTCCCGGGCAGTATAAAGTTTGCTGTCTCCTTTGTTCGTCCTCGTTGCGCAGTAGTGCTAGCGGCTTCGTGTTTCGGTACCCGCACCCGGCAGCCGCTTTTGGTGCTAAGCTGCTAGGAAGCCCCTCTCGGCGAGCTCGTTGGAGCTTGAACCCATTGTCACCCCTCGG